ACAGAGAGACACAGACACAGACACAGACACAGACACAGACACAGACACAGACACAGACAGAGACAGAGACAGAGACAGAGACAGAGACAGAGACAGAGACAGAGACAGAGACAGAGACAGAGACACAGACAGACACAGACAGAGACAGAGACAGACAGAGACAGACAGAGACAGACAGAGACAGACAGACACAGACAGAGACAGCCAGAGACAGACCGACAGACGGGAGGGAGAGAGAGAGAGGTTTGGAATGGTTCGGGCTGCGAGTCGGCGGTAGGCGTTCAGGTGGGGGTCACAGGCGTATGAGAGAGGGGAAAGTCTTTTGAAGTCGCCGACTTGTGGCGCCGGATGCCGGACGGACAGAGCCCTTCGGGGGAGGGCGCATGCGTGCCTTTGCTCTGAAGCAAGCAAGGCTGCGCAGGGGAGTGGGAACTTGCATCCCCAACCCCCAATCTCCCCGCAAGCAAGCACGAGACAGACATGGAGACAGACCAGACTAGTGACTAGACCAGACCAGGCAGAAAGGGAGTAATAAGCCAGAGAGACAGACAAAGACAGGCAGAGAGAGAGCCGGCTGGTTCGGATACCCCTCGGAAGGAACAGAAAGAGAGACTTTGCCAACTCGCCTTCCTGACGCGGACTCTGGTCTTGAGTACCTGAGGAATCCTGGTCAATTTCTCGATCTGGAAGACCTGCCATTGACTCTTAGCCAAATAAGAACGCTGGCGCCATTCGGTCATCTGCGGCCGTGCTGATGATAGCATTTCCTTTCTAGAGTTTTAAAGCCTTGATGTGAAGCTGGTGAAGCGCTTAGGAATGTGCAAGCTGTCATCGAAAAGCTCTCGGGGCCCACGGCTGGCGAAGCGAGCCTCGAGAGCCTCGGCGAAACGAAGGGAACGAAGTCTCGTCGCTCTTGCATGCTGTTGAGAGAAGCAACGCAGCAAGGAAGCTGGTGGCGAAGCTCGCTGAAGGTGTCATGGCCAACTACAAGGAGAAAAAGGAAGAGGAGGCGCGTTTAATTGCGTTTATTGAGTCTGCTACTAGTATGGTCGAGCACAGGCAGCAGGGTGTTTGCAAAGCAGTTCATCGTTTCCGGACCATGGGTGTCCAATTTGCGCTGTGAACTACATCAACTGCATTACGCGCCAACCCTGCCGGCATTGTGATACTTACTACTTTGAGGCCACCAGCCAGGACGAAGGTATGAAAACAAGACTTGTGCTTTGCCAGTCTGCGAGTTCGCACGAGGCATCGGCATCAGAGCAGTACGAGTATGTCAAGCTCCCAAATGGAGCCGAGGGCTGTCCTTCCGGGGCTGAGATCCCGACTTTCGAGGAGTGTCGGCAACTTGGACCAGTACTGCTAGGCGCAGAGGTGTCGGTTTGCAAACGACGCCTGAACGATCAAGCCTTGACGATTTCTAAGGCAAGCCATCCTATCCATGGGCTTGAAGCCCGACCCCTACTGGACGAACGCCTTCGAGGGTCTACCGAAGTTCTGCTCTGTGAGAGACCGCCCGCATGAAACCGTGGGCCTGGCTCCTCAGCTTTGAAGATGCAGAGCAAAGGGACGGAGACGGAGAACGAACGGGCAGAGCGAAGAGCCAAGGAGCGCATGCACTTCAACACGGCTGGCCGCGGTGCTGGACGAGACGACCTTGCACCAGTGACCAGTCTAAGCTCATGAAACCCGCATTACTCGCATCTGCATTTGGGTTCCGGCAGTAGAAGTTTCTAGATATCATTACTTGTAGCTCAAGCCTTTGTCGCGCACTTTGGCTACCTAGACGGACGTTCACTCTGATTGGGCCAGTGGGTCACCACAATGCGAGAAGCTGCGAAAACTGTGGCACACCAGGCTTGGCACAAGTGTCACGAATGGTGGGTTTCGCGCGCAGAAGGCTTGGCACACGTGCCAGAAGTGACACGAACAGGGGGTTTGGTCTTCAGAGTGCTCAAGCTTCGAGTTGAGGTTGGCATGCGGGCATGTGCACTACAGCCCCTCCTGAAAAAGCTTGTGGATTAAGGGTTCGGGTTTACGTGGTTGGACTTGCTGGCTGACACTTAGAGCCCAGCTGCACCAGAGGTTTATTGAAAATTTGCTAGACTAGACTTCGGCCCAGTGACACAACAAGGGTGCGTAGACGATTTGCCTTGCACATTGCGCCAGGGCCTGACACAGGCAGCTTCGCAGCTTCTGTCGAGTTAGTCCAACCCGTGCGATGTTGAATTTCATAGCTTTACACAAAAGAAGTGCTCCAACTCGAGGTCATGAGCACGTGGCATGTGCCACGTGCCGTGAGGTAGATCGCCCCCATACCACGGTGCGGCCGAATGATGTAGTGCAGACTCGCAGAATGGAGTCCCCGACCAGATGCTTCTCGAGGAAATGACCAGAGAACTCCCGGACCAGTTTTGATTTTGCCGACACGCTGTCTTTGTCGAGTGGGGCGGTGGGATGGTGGGGCGAGCCTGGATGTGGGGGCTGCCAGAGAGTAGCCAGCAGTCAAGAAAGCGCCCCGCCATCGCTAGTCACGCCGTGTTCGGCGCGCGAGGCCCCGTTCTGACGGTGAATGCAAGAAGTGTTGCAGACGATTCAAACACGGCCTAAAGTACACTTGTCAGTCGGGCTTTGCACGAACACTTTGCTTGGCTGGTGCACTTTGCTTGGCTGGGGCTGTGTACATTTGTGAGCGAGCTTTCAGAGTTCTTTCTGCCAGCCGACTCCTCACAACGAAGGTTTGCAGGAAGATCGGCACAGCGGCCGGAGGCGTTTCACAGTGTCTCCTATATACATGTTGCTCCAGAATTTCTCCTCAAGCACGAATCATGTCAGGACAAGCGGGTAAGCCGAAGGAAGCAGCGTCTGCGACAAAGGGCTCGCAAGGCACCGAATCTTTAAATGCGAGTGGCCCATACACTGTGACCGGCACCAGTGCCTGGCACCAGTGCCTGGAGGTGCCTCGTCAGCCCTGCCGGAGCTCAGCGGCCGAACGCAGCAGAGTTTCCTTGGCCGAGACGCTTGGTCAACTGCCAGGAAGAATATTTCAGCATGGATTGACGGCGTAGCACAGGTAGTGCTTTCTCCTGAGCTAAGGACAAGCCATTATGGTTTCTGGTGTACATGAAAGAGGGTCCCCTTACAGAAGCAGAGGAAGAGATGCTCCTGAATGTGAAAGATCGCTTCCAGCAGAAGCTCGACGAGCAAAGAATTCCTCTGCAGTGGCTTTGGTTGGATTTGCGTGCGGAGCGGGCCGTGCGATCTTTGCTGGACCCACCGGCAATCCCGTCTGCGATGGTGATCAAAGGCTTGGGATGGGATCCGAGTAGAGTGGAGGTGCCTACTCTGAGACACACCCTTGAAGGTGGCAACAGCCCGAAGTATGCTTTAGCCCAGCACGACGAGCAGGCCAAAGTTGCAAGGGTAGGTGCTCGCAGGAATGTTTGCATTCCCAAGAAATGGAAAATTCCCACCCGCCTCCCTTGCATGGCATTAAGCAGGATGACGAGCCTGTGCCAGCAGACGCCAACAGCATAGAGCTGTTGCTTCACTGAACTGTTTCCGGATTGTCCGCTGGGGTCAATGTCCTCAATATCCTGTGAGTGAAGCCCATCTGTCCCAGGTTGCTCAACTCACTCTTGGGTGGGGATGCGCGGTGCCTCGGCTGGCAAGATGTCCATGCGGAAGGACACCGAAGAGCCTTTCGCATGTCTTGTGCATGCGTAGAAGTGGTGTCCCGTCAAGCCGTCAAGCCCATATACCTTAGGACGACGGCACGGGTGTGTTGATGTGGCTGGTTCTGTTGCAGCTGCAAGGTGGTAGTGGTCGCTCGCATGTTTTGCAGAGCAACGAGTAGTGGTAGTAGTAGTAGCAGT